AAAAAAACGCGTCATACACACAGTCATATTATATAGTTCAAGGGATTACTTAAGAAATATAAATCAGTCTTTTTATTATATCGAAGATAATTGATTATTATTATTTTTTTATTATCACGACTAATTAATCTTGAAAATTATGATACTTCTTAGTTCTTATAGCTGGATACGAATTATTTACAATATGAGTCCWTTTGTTTTATTTTTTCTATAATTATGTTATAACATAATATAATATAATTATGTTATAACCTAAACATTTTAATGTAAAAATATGTTTAAATGGATACCAACTAAAACTGTTAAGTCAATTATTCGACCCGTTGGTGAACACTAAAATACTCTCGCATTATAGTTAGAATAAAATTATACTTAAATATAACGTATTATGCTCAGTAGTCAATACTCACTATACTTTTAATAGATTTTATACAGCGATAATATATGCTGTTTATTGTATTTGTCCCCAAGATGAATATATTTCGTTTAGAGTGGTATATAAAACGGATATCAATAAACTAATAATAAACTGAATAACAATCGTTGTTTTTTTTTATTTCGATGGGCTGATACAGATCAGTGGCTATAAACGAAATACGTTATTATACTGAATAAATTATTGTACGTAAATAGGTATTATACTACACTGTTGAGGTTTTTATAATTATATTATAGGTATTGTAATCTCAATCAAGTCGTTCGTCGCCTGTAGCTTGCAGTATGTTAAAAGTGAGTATACATTCATAATAATATATATTATATAGAATACCTACTGCATTAATAAAAATAACAAAAATATTATACTATTATGCTGCACGTTTTACAGGCGTATAGGCGTATACCTAACCAATACGAATTTCGATGCGTATAAAAAATTTAAACGTTATCTAATCAAAACTATATAATAATAATAATATAATATTTTGTAAAATGTATGTTTAATGCCAGGAGCGCGTTTACGTATGAAGTAGTTGATAAAATTTAATTATGTTATTATGCGCACGTCCTCATAATAAAGTGTGATCGATCACACAGTTTTTCTCTATAATAATATATTCACTATTATAGTTTTATAGTTTAATTAAAGTCTCTACAGTCTACATATTAAACGCGGTTCTTGCACCCGTTTAACAGCCACGCGTATTGTATGCGAGTTTTTTGCTTTGTATTATTTTCCAGCGTCATCAAGTCTATATATTTTATGCGAGCATGCAGTTTGTCATAAGTGCATGCTACAACGGCATACCTATCTTTGGGGGAGTGGTGAATGATTATGAACACATTTGCCCCCGTGGCTCGTACAAATTATATTATTTTTAATCATATTTAAATTGTATGTTTAGGGTTGTGATATCGACGATGCATATTTTTTTTATAGCATCATTTATGTAAGTAGTAGTGTGTTGCACTATAATATATTGAACTAATCAGTTTTAAAAACCATATCATTACATAAGTTGTAAAATTAACTAAATGCTATTATTGCTTCAGGGTATTTGCGTATAATTATAAAATGCAAATAATTYGAAGTGTTTTTTTAAACACACCTATATAATACTGTATTTTAGTCGATTAATTTACTATACTGGATTTTATTATACTTTAGATTTAAAGCGTGGTTGCGATCGAGTTATGGACCCTAGTAGATTAGCAGTAATGCATATATTATTATATTAAATATGAATAAAGAAATATACATTTTTAACCTGTAGTKWGTAATATTATTATTAGTATCGAAGCAATTAAAAATAAGAGAAAAATAGATTTTACGMATCGTATTATAATATGTATGGACGGAGAAGTTTTATTGATGGTAAGAAATTGCACAAATAATTTAGGAATGAAAAAATATTAACCCCCTCGCATAAAAATAGCCTAGATATACTGCGTGGTGAATGGTGATAGTACTATAGGCATATATACTTGTAGATACCTATTATACTGCATCCACGGTGATTGAATAAGTTATTAATTTATCTAACAAATAACTCGTCGCTTATCGTTATGACGACCGTATAGTGCAGTGCACATACTCGTTATATCTTATACATATCCTATATAATATTATTATATACATAGATGTATTATTAGATAGGCACATAATATCTATTGTCGTGTGAAGTTGGACGGAATGCCACGCAAGTATACTTATTATAATTTATAATCAAACCGTGACGATATCTTAACCAGTTTTAATTTTCRTTAGGTAATTGTCCAATAATGCGTGTTTGAAATTGATCGAAAACAGTGCACATTGTGATTCATATTATAATAGTGTTACTGCTGCAACAGCTCAATATAACGAATTTACCTATCTTTATGTATATAGATACAAATCGTAGGTACAATACAATTAAACGGCACGCGTGAATAATAAATCGTCCGAGACGCTTATTAGTCATCTGCAGCTGCTGTTTACTTACTATAATTATAAGCGCGTACACGAAACATTATGTACTTAACGGAACAATAATCGTGTGTACGTATACTTAGGTATATATTATAMCGCTGCGACGCCTCCGAAAGAGCTGGTCCGAAAACGTATAGATGGATTGATGGATACTTGTGGGTATATACTGCAGCCATTAAATAGGTTATTGTTTATACATATAACATATATAATATTGTATGCGAAGATATCAGACCGTATATTGCCGATAGGATGCGCATCTCGTTGGGAATAAGTAATACCTAATTTACTGCACTATATATAAATAATATTTTTCGTATCTACATGATATGTAAATATAAAAATATAATGGCGAGCCACTAGAAGATATATAGCTGGTAGGTCATTCAACAATATTGTTAAAAACGTCTCCGCGAACTCCACATAGATTTATACGCCATTTGCCCATTTATATTCATTAAGCGGAGTTATAAAGATATCTGTAGAAATAAAAACGACTAATTTTGTATGATACGTATGATCTACAAAGAGACGAATAACATTGATTTATGCATGAACTCGAGAAAAAAACATCACGTACCTAAAACCTATAATAAGTAATATGCGTGTAATAATTTAATATTGGTAAGTCGCGTGCTCGTTTTCTCGCGTAAATAACGTTATACATAAATATATATACCTGCACATAATATAATATGGACGAGACTATCTGGTATTTAATTTTTTTTTAATGTTGGTCTTGAAATTTTAACCGACTTATTGACAGTCTGGACTGGACGGACGTGCACGAAGTCTATTTCGTTAATAACAAACGAACCACGACGATTAATTATTATTCGTTTTCCATACATYTATATAGATTATAGGTGTACACGAGTGTATATAACATATTATTGCCTACGGTGTATTTTAAGACTGTATAGTGAGACGCGAGTGGCGAGTGTGCCCCGAGGCCGAAAATATTTCCAATGAACGAAATGGATATAAAATTCAAATATAATTGTGTAKWATGCAGAATCACGGCAATACGCGTATATCATCAGCTAGGTAGGCGATTTGTCAAAACTAAAAAAGAAAACCCTTTGATGATATCGTATTATAAATTATATCAAATTTATATATAATATATCTATAGGTATAGATAATAGATATATTATTATAATATATCTATAATAAAATATATCTAACCATAAGCATATGATTGCTTCTTAAGACTCGTTAATACCTTGGTC